TATCAGCTGAAAATGAAAGCAACAAACCTGAAACTTGTATCAATGAACGACACACATCGATCACTACTGATTCGGCTGCCTTACTGCGCAGTGTGAGACGATCAACTTCGGCTTGAAACGCTTTGATGAGGGGAACAGCTACTTTGCGAACTGTCTGAAACATATTTCAGCTCAATCCAGTGACTATTTACCGCACAAATCAAACCGTGTAATGTAATAATAACAAATAAATAGTCATTTTAAAAAATGCTTGAAGTTGCGGTAAAGAAAACGATTCAGAGTTGATGACAGAGTTCAAATGATTCTTGTGCACTTCAATTGATAGACATGAGCAGTGCTCTAGTGTGCGATGCAATCAAGTTCTAAATGCCTAATGGCGAATAAACTCTCAATACCGAAACATGTACAGACAAGTGACAAAACTTTGAGAGATGTGATAGGAAACGGTCTTCTTTGATGTCTCAACTGCCTGAAACCACCAGTGAAAGACCAATGAATTGTTTATGAAGACACTTCAGATGAAAGATGAACACTGAATGGAATGCAACTGATATGACAAATGTCAAAAAGTAACTCCATTAACAAATGAAACAGATGAATGCAACAACAACAACAAGACGCAACCATCAAAAAGCAATCAACAAAATGAATAATCAATCGCACGATCAACCATTTCTGATGAGTGAGCCTAAGATACACTCGTAGTACAAGTATCTATGAATGAAGCTCTTAGATCTAAACTTGACAATCAAATGAATTGATATCTGAATTTATTGGTATGTATTCTGATGATGATCGTTGCAGCATCTGATAACAAGAGCATCTAGTTCAGATGGTGAGCGTACTGCTAGAGGAAGAGGATTAGGTCGGTTCTTTTAATAAGCTGAACGATGAATTTGTTATATATAGCGTGCATATAGATAAAGCGAGGATGAAGGTGATCGTTATAGTGAAATCGATATCCATCAGTGGACGACAGATGGGATGGGAGGGGAGGGGACGGGACGGGACAAATGCAGACTACGATAGCATGGACTTATTTACAGATTGTTTGATCGAGAACATAACATAAGTAGTAACGATTAACATAGCACACAGACATGCACAAACACACTCGTCCAATCACACAACAATCAGCACAAACCTAACGACTCCTGATCGATTTTATTTCGTGTTGACGACAAGAAGCACAACATGAATGAATCACTGAAACATATTTCTAACACCAATCCTTTATCCACAGTTACGATACCTCACAGTACTGTCATTATCACACTGCAAAAAGCAGCAAAAAACCCTTCTATCTATGATGAACACTTTCAGACAAAAATCTCTATTCCCAGTGGACAATGGTTATGTCTAGCATGATTTTTAGCAAAAGATGATGCGAGATTATCACTGCAACAGTGAGTAATGGGGATAGGAATAAATCTTATTGCTTACTGAACAGTGAATGATTTATTTGTAGCTGTTGACTGATTGAAAGAGACGCACGGAGATCGGACACACAGCCAGATATTTTGTGCAGACAANGAAGTGATGATCACTGACAGAGGAGGTGACCGATTCAAGATTCAATGAGTGCAACCGAACTGATTGTGGGAAATCGTTACTGAATTCATTCGATAACAATTAATCGCTGACAGGAAATTGAAATTTAAACTTTTCGTTCTCTTTTCATAGCCGTTCAAGTTTAGTGCTGCAGTATCGTAGATATCTAGAGGATGAACGAGCACAATCGATATAATATGTAGCACAGACGCAGTACCGTAATAAAATAAATTAATTGAGAATATGCAACGATCGAGTTAGTCGAAAGAAGTGCAATGAAAGGAAATGAAACGAATCATCATCAATCGATTTCAAATGCAAATCCAAGTCGTCAGCAACACAAACCTACCTTATCACTATTCTGACGAAATATCGCACTCTCCTCAATTAATCGTTTTTTGCACTGATCTCCATCGTCCTGACGTAATCCAATCGCTTTTACCTCCTCATTTAAACGAATCTTCAATTTAAATTCATTTACAAAATTGCCTTTTACGACTTTATAATTGCCGACATAATCGTCATTCAACAATCATATTGATTACTGTTGATAAATACATGAGAGTGTATTTCATAGATTCAACCTGCGCATTGCACTTTCATCCAGGGAATCTTACGTGATATAATACGTGTGAAGTATC